AGACTTTCACTTTTAGAAAAATGCAATAGAATCTTACATTGTCTCCTCAAAATGCTGTGGAGTAGGCTGCTGTCTGGGAAGTACACTGCTAAATTAAATACACTTTTTTGTGTGTGTGACCTTAGAGCTAAATGTCGTGCAAATATCCTAAAGGTGAGTCGTTGCCAAGAAACTGAAAAGCAGTTGTGTCTGGCTGTGGACACCCAAAACCAACACAGAGGAAAACTCCTTCTCCCTTTCTTATCTGAGGAGACTGGCAGCTTTAATAACAATGTCAAATGCATTTCAGGACATATTTTTTCCAGGTTATTTGTGCTGTAAAGTGCTCTGTCTTGAGATGTCAGAGAGCTGCTTTTCTGGTGGATGCCCTTTTTCATTTGAATGTACTAGAACAGGATTTCCATTGAAAATGTTCAAGTACTGGGAGACAGATGAAAGCGTTTTAATGCTACTATTAGTGTGAAGCTTTTCATTTAGCATACCTGAAACAGCACTTCCTAATGCTTTAATGACATTAAAAACTATATTCCATCAGAAAATGCTTCATGGAATGTCCCGAAGAAGCTATAAGTGGCTGGCTTGAAGGTCAAGTCTTCTGCAGGAGGTCCTTGGCCACCAAACTTAACATGCTTCTCACTGCAATTGCATCCATGTCCTAATTATTTCTTTAGTTGTGTGCATCACAAGATGCAATTACATGATTGTGAAGAGAGGAAGTGTCTGTAGCTCTTGTGATCACAGAGCTTGGAACAACCTTCTGGGTTTGAAAATCTGAGTTATATTTGTTGGCCTTGCATACACTAATCATTTACCTGCCTGAGTCTCAGCACCTTTTTCTGCAAAAGGTGATGTAATGATACCCAGATCATCAGGATATTGTGAGAATTCAAAGAAAAGATGTACAAAGGTTGTTCTCTTCAGGGAGGTAGGGGCAGGACCTAGCACTGGACAAACAAACGCTCTACCACTTGAGCCACCCCTTTTATTTTCTTTTCCAGATACAGTCTTGCACTTTTTCCCAGCCTGATCTAAGAGTGCAATCCCCTACCTCCACCTCCCAAGTAGCAAGGATTACAAGTGTGCACAACGCGTAGTATACAAAATGTTTTCATCAGTGCCTCGCTCCCACAAACATCATGTGAGTGTTTTATTATGACTACTTTGTTGTTTGGGTCTCTCCTCTCTCCATCTACATAAATAACTGTGAATTCTGTGAAAGTGGGAATTATATCTATTCTTTTCTGGAGAGGATATCTAAGGAGAAAAGTGACTCTCACATTGCAGGTGATCAATAAATACTTACAGGTTGAAGGGATAGACAGATGAATGTATAGGCCAATTTTACTATTCACTAAGTTTTCCATACATTGTCACAACTGAACCACCATTTTTTGTCATTTACAGATTAGAATACTTTGAGCCTGGAGACATTAAGTGACTTCATGTCAAGTGCAGAGCTGAAACATAGCAAATCCTCCAACTCTCAAACTGTTGTGTTTCAAACTTTTCTTATTTTTTTCTATCTGAGGCCAGTCTAAAAGACATTTTTATATAACAGGGAAATCATTTCTCTTATGCTTTCACTGTGTTATTCATTTTGAGCATAAAAGTTAAAGTAGGTAACATATATCAAACTGTTACCCCAGAGTAAGTCATTATTGCGTTTAATAGCTAAGGGAATCTGCAAAGTTGTTGATGATAAAAATCCAAAAAATAATATTACATTTTTATTTTACTGATTTATTTATTTTGGCAGTACTGAGGTTTGAACTCAGGAACCTCTTTGGTCACACCTCCAGCCTCAAAAAAATAATATTACAAAACAAGAGAAACAGAAGGAGAATCTGGGTTAGGAATGGATAAAGGATTTTAATAGGAATGGCTTTGAATTCTGAACTTTTCCTGGTCCCTAGCAGAGTGGCAGGTCATGCTGGGCAGACCAACCAGGGAAGGAAGAGAAGTTCTTCTCTCCTATTTAATGATTTTTTTAACTGTCAACATGTCATATGGTCTGCATGTGTCTGGTATTTTGTCACAGTTTTTCAGCTTGCTGCTAATGAAGTTAGAAAGCTATAGTTTTAGTCCTGTGTCTTAACTTTCCTTATGTGGTTTCCAGGATGATAAATTCTAACTCCACTTATTTTCTAACTTAGTTTTTATCTCCACCAAGAATTAGACAGTTTGTCGAGGTGCCAACCAAGTTGAAAAAAAAAAAAAGGTGCTACTCAAATTAACTTTATTAGTAATGAGAAGTATAATTACTGGTTAACAGAATCAGCCAGCAATTCTTAAACGTAAATGTATGGAAGAAACTTATGCTATCTGATTTTGAAAAACACTGTTAGCATACATTAATTGTTCAGAAGGGTTCCATTGTGATATTTACATTCAGACATACATATCATGTGCTTTGATCAAAGTCACCCCGTCCATATTGCCTTTCCTTAGCACTCCCCGCTTCTGAAGTCTTCACCTGGTTTTATTATGCTACTTGTACACTTATACACACATATGTATACAGTACTTAGGTCATAGTTATCCTTAATCTACCTGCTTTTCCTCATCATTTAACGTTCTTTTTTATTGTTTTGTTTGATTTTTAGTGCTAGGATTAAACCCAGGGCATCGTGTGTGCTGGGCAAGTGCTCTACCACTTGAGCCATACCCCAAGCCCTTTTCTTTCTTTTTTCATTCTCTTTTTCGTTTTTGATTCTGTTTTTGCTTTTTTGAGGTAGGGTCTCACTAATTTTACCTAGGATGGCCCTGAATTCTTCCTGCCTATACCTCCCAAATGGCTGGGATTACAGCCATGTACCACCATACCCAGCTTTGCATCATTTAATTTAATCAATCTTCTCATTTCTTCACAAATATCTACTGACCACCTGCCTTTTGCCAGTTGCTAGATGATGAAAAGGTGCTTGATCTTATGGAATTTATATTCCATAAATGGACAATGCAGGCCATAAAAAATTAAGAAATAAATGCTTGATAAACTATTAAATAGTAGTAAGTTATATAATGTGTAATAAAATAACATAAAAGAATAAAGAATAATGGAAGCCTCAGATCATGAATACTACTTAGATAATATGTCAGAAAAAAAAGTTTGCTGAGAAGCTAAAATTTGTGCAAAGGCATGAATTAAATGAAGGATTAGCCATGCAGTGTTGGCAAACAGAGCTCATGAACAAAGGAACAAGTGCAAAGATCCTGAGGCAGGAGAAGCTAGAATGGGTAGCCCTTATTGCAAGAAGTCCAAGACCCTATCGGGGCTTCAACAAAAAAAATGAAGAGCCTGGATTTTTCTGCTGAACACAGTGGAAAGCTCTTAGAAGGTTGGGAAGAAAAATGATACAAGTGAACTGACTTCAAAAGCTCATTGTGGCTATGGTGTAAGGAATGGCTTACAGGTTGAGCACATGGCAAGAAGCAAGTAGAGCAGTTAGGAGATTATTTATCCTGCCAGTCCAGTCAAGGATGGTGTTAACTGTGAGGGGTGGGAAAGCAATCAAGTTTGGAAGATGATAGAGTTCTTTTTTATAACTTCTGTACTCTAAATGAAGACGCAAGAAGAAGGCTTGAATGGTTGTTTTGTTTTGCTTCGTTGCCACACTGGGGTTTGAACTCAAGGCTTCATGCTTACTAGGCAGGTGCTCTACCACCTTGAGACAGTCCACCAGCCCACAGTGCAAATGATGGAAGAAATACTAAGATTGTGGATAATGGGACACATTTAAATTGTGTGGTCTGGAGTCTTAGATGAGTGAAGATGACCACACCAGGGTGTGCTTTTCTTCAGCCACTTTCAGTTGTTCTGGTAAAGACAGAAAATCAGCTTTAATATTAGGCTGGGTTTTGGCCAGGAGAGTATGGGGAATTGGAAATGAGTAATTACCATGCTGGATTCTGAAACTCAATCCTGGGATCATAAAGTGGGGCAATGAGGTAGTGAGGGCAGTAAAATATGTACCTTAGTGGATGGTGTGGACCCCATGTTACCAAAGACCTATTGGAGCCCTATTGAAAAGGCAAGCTGAAAAGCATGCTGGGAATTGTCCATCACAAGTTTACTAGGAAGAGTTGAGAGACGTTGGAAATGCCTTAGGGTTTGTGACCCTGGAAGTGGGCTATCTCCATTAGTATAACCCAATATTTTGTGCTTGCTGGATGTGTCTTTCCTCTGTATTGCTTGATTCTTCTAGATTGTCAAAGTTGAGAGCAGCCCGATACACTGCCCAGGTGAAGGCCTTCATTCAGATTTGGATGTCTGATGACCTGCTTCTTCTTATGCTATGATCACGACTTTGGCATTGCACTAGCGGTAGGTTGGTGGGGTCAGCCTTGTCCTGGATTCCAGACTCAGTGCGGATGGCCATATCACCACTTGCCTCTTGCCATGCAGTGAACCTCACCCTGCACCACAGCTGACAGGAAGGGGTTATCAGTGGGTACCAGGGAGTGGCCTATGCAGGGTCCCTCAGAAGGGGCTGTCCGGCGGGAGCAGCCAGCTCTGAGTGAGTTCCCACCAGGGCCTGCATCTCTGTGTGGAGCCCAGATTTTCATTTTGCGCAGGTGAAGGTCGTGTTCTGGCTGGGGTGGGTGCCCTGGGGTGGCTTCTGAGCCTGAAGTTAGTATTCCCAGCCTGACCCAAGAGGCTCCCCCAAAGCAGGTGCCTGTGCTCCCCGGCCTCACTGCTGCAGAGAGCAGGAGCGCGCCCCCCTTTCCCGGTTCTTGACGTCAAGCTCAGGCACAGGACGGCGGAGAGCGAGGGAGGGTGACAGGGAGGAGAGGCCATTCCAGCAACAGCTGGGAGCAGGGAAAGCCAGAGCCGCCAGGAAGAACGGGGACCTGCGGCTTGGGGACCGCCGGGCTGCTGCAAAGAGGGGCGGGGAGGAGAGCAGGCGGGGCGCGGCGTGCGGCGCTGTCCCCAGCCGGGAATGTGACATCAGCGGGCGGCGGGAGGACGCGGCTCGCAGGCTGCGCTGCGCTGCGCACACCTCGCCCGGGGACGACGCGGAGCCGGGCTGGCGTGGTGGCCGGGATGTCGGCGAAGGAGAGGCCAAAGGGCAAAGTGATCAAGGACAGCGTCACCCTCCTGCCCTGTTTTTATTTCGTCGAGGTGAGTTGGCTCAGCGCCCTGGCATAATGCAGATCTTCCGGGCAGCCCCGAAGCGGATTCGGGTCCTGGACAGTGCTGGAGGCCAGGAGACCGCGCCAGGGAGCGCGTCGCTGTCCCCAAATGCCCTACCCTCTCCCTTCACCCTCCCCTCTCCAGGTTTCCCAGGAGCTCTCCACCCCACCCCCTCCCCAAATGGGCCTGTGGATTCCTGCCAGGCCCTGGTGGCTACCGCTAGAGGTGTCCCTGCTGGGTGGCCTGCTGGGAAAGGTACCTGTGTGAGTGTGACTCTAGTTCCCTGGCCCTGTCACGTCAGTGTGCACAGCGTCCATCCGTGCCCCACAGGGACCAGGATGCTCACATTTCCGAATTCGTGTCTTCCATCAGCTGTGTATCTAGAACTCTGTGCGCTTTGGGTGAGAATTCAAGTGCACAGAGCTATGCCTCTGACTATGAGTGAGGATGCAGATGTGTATATAGCTTTAGGCTTAATTCCCCCCACCCCAACAAACCCTTCTCCTACTGTTACCAAGGTGCTCTCATCTGCTTCTAAAACGGAGTCATTTCTAGGCATCAGTGTGCTGGCTTTTTTCTGTGTGTGTGTGTGTCTGTGTGTGTGTTACATAGACGCATTATATAAACATATATATGTGTGTTTTAAATATATATTATATATAAATATACATATGTTTTAAATACACATCATCTAATTTTACATGACTTGTATCTGCCCATTTGTTCTGTGCAATGAACATGCATATGTATTCATAATGAACCTCCAACTTACCCAATGCAGTATTTATGGGAGGATTATCATTTTATGGGAGGGTTATCAAGATTGACAGGTGCAGGATTCTAGTGCCCTGTGGTCCATTGCATTAGGAAGACATTTTTAAGCGACAGACTTATTAATCATAGGTAGACATAGGATATATAGCATAGGTTTCCAGAAATCAGATGGTTTTAAGCATGAAACTATGCTCTATGTCACTACAGCCTGGGTTGTATGGAGAAGTGAGACTGTTGCTAAATTTATAAATATCCCTCCTTGGCTGTCTTTTCAGCCAAATATGGAGGTTTTCACTCTCAAGTATAGATGGTAGATTCTGTATTTGATGACCGTGGTGAGGCTTATCTGGGTTGAGGAAGTGTCACTTTCTTGAAACTTGGGGGAAGGGACATTGTCAGACTGTCCTTATAGATAATAGTATATTTGTAAATTTCTTTTATGTGTCATAGATTTTTTTTAATGATCTTGGTTCTGAGAAAGATGTGTGACTTGCATAAGTCTCAGAGAAATGCTTGGTAATCCCTTCCTCCATGACCTATAGAAAAGAAGAAAAATTATTTTCCTGTTTATTTAAAATCATTGCTCCATTTATTCTCCTTCCTCTTTTCACAAAGGCTTTTAAAGCCATGGATAAGGTAATTTTTGAAGCCATGGATAAGGTTTATAAAAAAATAAGAAAGTGATTTCTCAAGAAAATGTGGGTGGTGGCAGATTCCGTGGCATCAAGGATAAAGGAGTAGAAAGACAAGATACCTGCCTTCAAGTTCAATTGTCAGCCCACTTGTCATGTTGCTAATTCACTGTGGTTTTGAACTAGAGCACTTTCAATCGTATTTGGATCTATTACATTTGTCTAGGAGAAATCAATGAATTGTTGGGCTCCATGTCTAGGAAGGCACACACTTGAGGTCAGCTAGAAGCTGACTACATACAGCACTGGAGCTGTATGGCTTCCAGGAAAATACCTTCATGACTAAGAATACAATCCTCAGAATCAAACTCATTCCCTTAAAGAATCTAAGTTTGTATTTTGAGGTGCCTTTTAGCAGGAATACATGTCCTAGTTAACCCAGGGTTTTAAAAGTAGGTGTGCATCATAGTGCATATGAATTATATCTCGAGAAATAAACACTTCACAAATATTACGTGCTTTCCATGACTGGAAATAACCCAAGTTCATTACTTTCACTTTAACCCATTCAGATACCATTCTCTGAATTCCTAATTAGGGCAAGTAACTAAACAATTGCTTGAAGACACTTCACAGAGTTTGAGCATTTATGACACTGTATCTTGGGGCTAATGGACTTCTAAGAAAGAGCTATAAAGTCAGATTACAAATTATCTCCCTAAAACTTTAGTGTATGATGAGCCACTTCAGAGCCTCCAGAATATGGGGGAAAATATTTGAGCAGCAGTCACTTAAGGGTTGACAGAAAGCATCACCAGATCCTTTGAAATGACTCATTTTGAAGCTGATAGGAATGAGCTTCATATCTCCCTTGGAGGATGAATAAACAGAGCTTGAATTAACACGTCAATAAGAAGTGCTAGAATAGTGACACTTTGCTTCACAGCATACTTTCCCAAGATCTTAGGACCAAGATAGAAAGAAAAGCATGAATAAACCTGCTTCCATCACATATCAGCCCAAAGTATACATTTCACGTTTCCTCTGTTACTTTGACTCAAAGGGCCAGATCTTGAGGTAAAAACAAAGTATCTGGGTCACATGACACCGTGGACTACTTTAGCTGCCGTTCTTCAAGCTATTCAGGCTGTTTTAAATTGCTATTCATAATAGGTATGAGATACAAAGAAACTTAATTGGGAAACTTTCACTGGACTAGAGAGCACTAGAATCAAGTAGATTTTACATTTTAAAGCAGGAAAGTGGCAGTGTGCTCTGGGGACAACTTGGGCCTTGTAGAAAGATTGACCTAGTTCAAATGTCACCTGGCCATTTTACTTCTCTCTTCCTCAGTCCTTCATATAAAATAGAAATCATATCATCTAATCGTGACTGCATATATCCATTTATAATCGAGATGATTATAACCTTCTCTTCGAATATAGCAAATCCTATGAGAGCGTTGTGTCTGAGTTGAGGTAGACACACAGTGTATTACTTGCTTTTCTCCCTTACAATGGCCCTTGACCTGAAATGGGTTGTTTTGGTTCTAGGCTGGACCTATGGAATCAGTTCTGACAAGGTCTAGCTTTGGAGCTCCCATTGCTCAGCAGAAGCTCCCTCCTCCTTGGTTTCCAGAGGTGGTCTGTGTTCTCCAGTTTTCATGAAACGTGTCTGTAATCTGGACATGAATGGGAGTGCTATTTAGTTTTTGTACAGTAACAATGGCAAGCATTTATGAGGCACCTTTCTGTGTACCATTCTGCTCAATCTTCAAAGACTCACTTTAAAAAAGAGGCCATTATTGTCCAGGGTTTGAAGAACAAACAGAAAATCCTGGGAATGACACACCTCGCTAATGTTTACAGCTTGAGTTGGAGACAGAGTTGGTGCTAAGAACTCATGATCTTCACCACGGTAATAACTGTGGCTCTCAGTTTGTTGAAAGAATATTCATATAGGCAAAGTTGCTTCCTCTTTTTTCTCACTGATGATAAAATCAGGAGGCTGAGTTAGGAGGATCACTTGAGCCCAAGTGGTCAAGACCAGCCTGGGCAACAAAATGAGATGCTGTCTCAAAAGTAAAACTAACCAGACAACAACAACAGTAAATCCCAGGAAGATGTAGTAAGCAAAGAGCACTGACAAAGGTGATACAGTTTTGCTAAACAAAGTCCAGCTCCCTCAGCTCAGTTTGCCCTCCACTGGGTGCCTCTGAGTGCAAAGATTTGGTGGACAGTGTGCACCCATGCTGGTTCAATAGTTAGTAGCTAGTGCCCCCTCAACAAGTACCCATAGCTAGAGAAGAAGTAGGGATGCTGGCACACCCTTTGAAGAGTGTCAGGGCATCTTTAATTACATCGCTGTAGGCTTCTGGCCATGGTATTCAGAATCAAGTAACCCTATCGTGGTTCACCACCAAATGACTGTAAGCAAAACACAAAGTTAATGAATGGGTAGAATGATTCTTTTTTTTCTTGTATCTTTGGTTTGGCTGCTATTTGTCTACTGACAAAGGGGCTTATGATTGCTGGTGATATTATATGATAGTTTGAAAAACACATGATGGGTTCCAGTACAGGACCTCATTTAGGAGTAAGTTGGATAATTCAGTGTTGCAGTGTTCCTGGGAAAAGCATAGGCAGGTTGTGAACAGAACTCCCAAGCAAGAATGTCCAAGTCCTTGTTAGGTTGAACAGAAAAGCAGGTCAAAAAGGAATGTGTCATTGAAGAGAGGGTTTGTCTTCCCTTTAATTTCAAAGCAATGATTGTATCACTTTCATGGCAATCACAGCCAGCAGCACACCTAGAAGTCGTAAAAGGTCTTTCAAGCTTAATAGCCTGATAACATATGTGGAAGGTGGGTTGTCTGACTGCTAGTGGATTTCCTTCATGCTAAGCACAAGGGTTCCCTTGTGCTCAGACTAATCATTCTATTCTCACTTGTCCCCCTTTTCAAAGATATAATTCAGGATGTAATGTAAACCCATAGTAAATTACCTCTTAAGCCGAAAAGATATACATTCTTAATATAAAATAAACGGAAAATAGATTCTTTTTTATTTAGACATTCTGCTTCATGGCATACCTTTTAATTAGTAATGTGATATTTACTTTATGGAGATGGATATATGTAGATATTTTTACAGGCCTGTAGATACAAATAGGACTTTGAATTCTCATGTCTTCAAGTACATACACGCATGCACAGACACATGTACCTAACTGTGCGCAGGCATGCATAGACGTGACGAAGTGAGGAAAAGTATCTCTCTCCACTTAGCATAAATAGCCAGAATATTTTAACTTCAAAAACAAAGAACTAAAACTAATTCCATTCAGAAATATTTTTTTTTTGAGGCAGGATCTTGCTGTGTAGCCCAGGTTGGCTTTCAACTTCAGATCTTCCCAAATTCTAGGACTGCAGGTGTGTGCTACTATGCCTGGGGACTTTATTTCTTAACTGTAGCAAATATTGATTCACAAAATTTCTGTTCCATCTCACATTCTATATGAAAATTATATAACACATTTGATCTTGCAGGGAAATATAGTTAATTTTCTTTCGTTTACACTGTAGTG